TCTCATCTGGAATACAGTGTACAGTAATGTCACACCATCTCTAAAAGGGTACTGCAGAACTAGAGGGGGTTCAGAGGAGGGCTATGAGAATGATCCAAGGCCTGGAAAAACTCTTATATGAAGAGAGATTGAAGATTGTGATTATTTACCTTAGAAAGGAGGCGAGTAAGAGGGAACATGATAAAAGTCTATAAAATAATAAATGATACAGAGTAGGTAGATCAGGACCCTTCCATTTTCCCTGACTCATAACACAAGAACAAGAGGACATTCAATGACATTATAAGGTAGAAAATTCAAACTAGTTAAAAGCAAATACATTTGCACATCTATCATTCACCTGTGGTACTCATTGCCACAGGAAGCTATTGAGGCCAAGAAATTAACAAAATTCCAAAAGGTAATGGACATTTATATGGATATCAAAAATATCCAGTTATAATTAATGATAAACATTTTGGAAGGGATATTAAACCTCATACTTCAGGTCTTTAACTGATCTCCGCTATTAAAGGCCAGGAAGAGACAATGTGCAGGCAGACCATCTGCCTGCTACAGGATTTTTACACTTTCCTCTGAAGCTGCTGGTGCTGGCCTGTGAGAGACACAATACTGTAGTAGATGTACCTTGGATCTGATCCAAGATGACAACTCATATGTTCCTAAATCTGAATGTCTTAAACCAAATCCTACCACCTATGTACCGAAATCCCATTGACTTTTGATGAAACCTATCTCCTAAATCTCATTTGAAAATGGGATATAGGTACTTCTGAATATTTTACCCATTTTCTATTCCCACTGTTCTCGTTAAATATGTAGCTTAACATTGTAGTATTTGCTATAAAACATACAGGATATGCAACACAGCTGAGTTAGCATCACTACTGCAACCATAACTTCTGGATTTCCTAATTTTTAGCTGTGCAATCATAATGTTGCATATAGCTTCTTCCCCGCACCTTCCCACTCTTTAAGAATAAATAGCGAGTGAGATTTTAAAAAAGAAAAACCAAGAACTATTGAAAGAAAAGTTGCCAAAAACATCAGTCTGTCATTAAGAACTCAGATACAGAACAAAGGGAATAGCTAGTTTTATTCCTGTAGTAGACGATTTCGGGCATCAAACTTGAAGTATCTAAAAAAACTATTTATCACCTCTCATTTAGACACATGCGTCAAGTCATAGTCTGTGTGTTTATACTTGAGTAACAAAACAGAATTAGAGCAATTATTTTAAGCAATTTGTTCTTATATAAGTTCTTATACCACCCCTCATCACTGAAATATGAGTGCCTTCCAGCAGCGTATTAAGCAATGTGACTAACATCTGTTCACATGCAGTTCGCTCTGTCTCATACTCTCCCCATAGGGAAAATTATGTGGGCTAGTGTAGTGTTTTGGTAGGGTTATTTGTTTTATTTTATTAATGTATATGAACATGCTCCAATGTGTTTACATGACAGTCAGTTTCATGCTAACAGTGCTGTATCCCTTCTGAGGAGAGAAGGGAGAATCTCACTACTAAGTTATTTATAGAAAATACTTAGGTACTTTACAGGTGATAAATAAAGCAACTAAATGACAGGAAAAAAAGAGAGAGAGAGAGAGAGAGAGAGAGAGACAGACAGACACAAGATGGGTGAGGTCATATCTTTTACTGGACTTCCGTTGGTAAGAGAGAAAAGCTTTCGAGCTTACACGGATCTCCTCTTCAAGTCTGGAAAACTGACACAGAGTGTCTGAGTTAGTTTCCCAGACCTGAAGAAGAGCTCTGTGTAAATTCGAAAGCTTGTCTCTCTCACCGACAGAAGTTGGTGCAGTAAAAGATATTACCTCACCCACCTTGTTTCTCTAATACCCTGAGACTAACATGACTACAGCAACATTGCATACAAAAAAAACACAGAACTAATGTAGATAAAATGAAACACAAATGTGCTGTCAAACAACTGGAAATGTATAATGCAAATAAAGTGAGTACATAGTTCAAAGGCCATAGATCTGTTGGTATTCTTTTTATGAATCAGATCACCCTACCAATGCTTTAGACTGATTTTTTTGCTGCCAGCTTAAAAAATACAAAGCAAATCATTTTGGTAGTTTTAATTTATTAACCCTATTGGGGTCCTTCAGTACTACCATTATATGAATATTTACTCCTGCTAATGGTGGCTTATGCCCTTATTTCATGTAACCATATATACCTACAACTATGTCCTTTAGTTATTGATTTAGGAAAATCCACCAGTGAAGTTGAAAAGTGCTTATCCTGTTTCATGGTGTGATGAAGTAAGAATTTTGGTAATATTTTTATGATTGCTATGTGCGCTTCAGTTTCCCTCTGTGTTTTGCATGGCTATGCATGAAGTGTAAAAGGTTACAAAGCTGCTCTTGGGGCAGAGCAGGGGACATGGGAACATAAGAATGGCCATACTGGGTCAGATCAATGGTCTATCTAGCTCAGTATCCTGTCTCCCCACAGGGGCAGGTGGCAGATGCTTCAGAGGGCATGAACTGAACAAGGTAATTATCAAGTGATCCATTCCGTCGTCCAATTCCAGTCTCTGGCAGTCAGACATTTAGGGACACCTAAAACATGGAGTTGTGTCTCTGACCATCTTGCCTAATAACTACTGATGGACCTATCCTCCAGGAACTTATCTACCTATTCTGAACACAGTTATACTTTTGGCCTTCATAACATCCCATGTCAATGAATTCCATAGGTTGACTCTGCACTGTGCCACACGTGTCTAGGGTTGTAGGAATGGGTTACTAAGGACTGACTGAAACCAACCCATATCTATGGAAAGACAATGGGAACCCCAGTGGCTGAGCCATTCACACCTAGCAATCAACAACCAAGAGAAAGGAGATTTTTTCCCTCACCTCCCGGCAGGGAAGAGGAGCAAAAGCCCCAGCTAAAGAATGAAGAGGAAAGGTATTTGGAAGTTGCATTAAGAACTGGCCTGGAAGGGGGGAGGGGGAGGTGTCCGAGAGAGACTTAGGGCATGTCTACACTTGCTATTTAAAGCAGAAAAAGTCTCCTTTTTTGAGCAAAAACCGTGGGAGTGTCTACACTTGCCATTGATTTTTTGCAGTGAAACTTCAGAAGTTTCACCACAAAAAGAAAACCAACTCCACGAGAGGCATAGAACTCTTACTGGTGATGCTTTTGCAGTGATGTGCAAGTGAAGATATTATCTCTGTTTACAGAGCTTTTAGCCTCTGGAGGATATCCCACAGTGCCTAGGTGACCACTCTGGCCAGCAGCTCTGCTGATCTGATGCCAAGTAAACACACATCCACCCCTCTCCCTGTAAAGCCCCTGGAACTTTGAAACTCCCCTTCCTGTTTTCTTGGCAAGAGCTCACTTATCATCGGGCCAGGTGACAATGGCTGCTCCATGGAGCAAAGGATCCTCTGCTTGAAGCAATGCTGAGCTACTGCAGCTGATCAGTGTTTGGGGAGAGGAGGCTGTGCAGGTACCCAGGATGCCCCGCGATCATCCCTCACCCCTTCCCAAAAGGCACATTGTCAAAATGGAGAGAGCTGCACTGTGGGATAGCTGCCCTCAGTGCACTGCTCTCATCCAGGATGGAAGTGCTGCAAATGTAAACACACTCTGATGCCTGTGGAAGTAAGTGAGTACACAAACCAGCACTTTTCTTTCACTATCAGCCTTGAAACTGACAGCGTGAAAACTCTGCAAGTGTAGACATAGCCAGATAGTCCCACTCCCAGATGCCTGTAAAGACAAAAAGATAGTGAGAGAGCCAAGATGGCTTAGTTGGCATGGTGATGGCAGCCTGGCTCAAGGGAGCAACTCTATCTTAACCTTTGTTTCTCTATACTAATTAAAGGACTCTCAGATTCTGTATGCTAGGTGATTAATAAATTACCATTTTATTTTGGAAAGGATGCCTGGTGTTGCAGCAAATACTCATTGGGAGCACTGTGCCCTGAACGGGTACCACACAAGTCTCCCAGAGAAGTCTGCCTTATCTAGCTTTGCTGCAGGGAGCCGAGGAGAGAAACAGGGATCACTGGTGCCCAAAGGCCCAGTTTCAAACTCTGGGAGGTCCTGGACCTGCCCTTCTGGAACTTTGCGAGTTCTCAGGGCACAGCACAGAAAAGGGATCACTCCGCAAGCTGGGGCATAGACCAGACATTGTGAATCCCTGACGATGGTACTCTTTAGAGCTTTACTCCTCTAAGCCACCTTTGCAGACCAGTAGGGCCATTCAAAATTGCCAGCTTCAAGCTTTAATAGAGCAAACGACCCATAAAATGCTTCTAAGCTTAATTGTATATAATTAGTTCCATCCTAAATACATTGACAATTAGCTTTCCTGTTTAAATGGCTGTAGCAAAGTAGCTATTACTCCGTGTGTAACTTCCACCATGCCAACCGGCCAACCCTCCATTTGTTTCTAAAAAGCGACTCCTCCGTACATGTTATAACAATTTAGGCTGCAAGTACAGTATTGTGACACATCGAAGCCAGTGACCACAAGAACAGTCCTGCAAGGGTGGGCAACCCGCGGCCCGTCAGGGTAATCCGCTGGCGGGCAGGAGACCGTTTGTTTACATTTGCACAGCCGCCCGCAGCTCCCAGGGCTGCTGGGCAGTTCGGCCGCGGCGCGTTCGCACTGGGCCCCGGGTAAGCGCCCGCCCGCGCGCCCCATGGCAGCTCTGGGGCAGCGCGGCGCGGGCGGCGCCTGGGCGCTGTCAATCACGCCGATGGCGCAAGCCGGCCGCAGAGGCACCGCGGCGGTTCCGGAGCCCGCGCCAAGCATTGGAGAGCGCTACTGGCCCCGGCACAGCCACGGGGGCTGGCGGCGGTGGAGGCGCGCCCAGCGCTGGGGGACACGTAGCCCGGCCGCCGCGGGCCACAGGCAGGCCCCGCAGGAAACACCCAGAGCCAGCTGATGCCGCCGCCCCGGGCTGCCTGCCCCAGCCCCGCTTGGCTGTGGCCGGGCACAGAAGGTACTCACCGGCCGCTGCCCCCGGCCTCCTCCCGGGCGGGCCCGCCCCGCTGCTCCGGCCCCGCGGGGCGACGAGAGCCCGGGCTGCTCTGTTCAGCCCGCCGCAGCCCCACATTGCCCCGGGCAGAGCGCTGCTGCCGAGCTCCGCCCCGAGCGGGACCCGGGACCCGCCTCCCGCCGCCGCACGGCGCACGGCGCGGCCTCCGCCGCATAGTTCCGGGCTGGGCAGTGAGCCGAGCGCGAGAGGAAAATCTCAGGACACATGGGGCGGGGACGCCACAGGCGCAGAGCCTCGACCGGGCCCCGGGGGAGGGGGACGCGGACGCACAGCCCTGGAAGCTGTGGGGGGCGTACGACCCCTGCGAGGGGCACATGGCCCCAGCTCCAGCCCCCGGAGCTGAAGCCACGGGGCGGGGGCGGGGGGGCATGGTCTCAGTTCCAACCCCCACCGCGCTGCTGGCTCAGCTAGGGTGACCAGATGTCCTGATTTGATAGGGACAGTCCTGATATTTGGGGTTTTTTTTAACATAGGCTCCTATTACCCCCAACCCCCTGTCCCGATTTAACACACTTGCTGTCTGGTCACCCTAGGCTCAACCCAGCTGACACTCACATCACCTCCCAGCAGGGCCCGTGAGTGTGGCCAGGGGAGGGGGCAGGCCCAGGGCATGGGGGAGTAAGTGTCTGGGAGGTCTGTGGTGGAGTGCCTGGCAGTGGGGGGCCTGTTGGGGGACTGGGCAGTGGGGGAGATCTGTGTGTGCCAGGACGCTGGGCAGTAGGGGTCTGTGTAGGGAGCTGTGTTGTTGTGGTGGGGCTGTGGGGAAGGGCATTGGGCAGTAAGGGGGCATCTGTGTGTTGGGGAACTAGGGAGTGGGGGTTCTGTGAGGTGCTGGGCAGTTGTGGTGGGCTGTGGGCAGGGGGGCGCTGGGCACTAGTGGTGGTGTGCAGAGCACGGGGCGTTCAAGGGGTGTTGGACGGGGGAGCTGTGTGGCACAGCATGGGCTTGCCCCCAACAGGGCCAGGCAGACTAGTGTGCATCTGATCATGCCATGCATGCCCCATTGCCCCTGGCCGGTCTTCCGCCCACCTGCTCACCTGAGGGCTGGGGCAAGGGGAGGAGGGGCAGGGTCCAGGTGGCGGTTACCTGGGGTGGCTTCCAGAAAGCAGCCAGCAGGTCCCTCTGGCTTCTAGGGTCAGGGTTGCTGGGGGTTCTCCACATGCTGTACCCATTACTAGTGCCAGCTCCACAGCTCCCATTGGCCGGAATTGTGCCAATGGGAGCTGCGGGGGCAGGGCTTGCATGGCACAGGTAGTGCGCAGAGCCCCCTGTCTGTCCCTGACCCTAGGAGCCAGAAGGACCTGCCTGGGGCAGGGGTGGGGTGGGGGTCCCAGTGGCACTCACCTGGGGCAGCTCTGGGGAAGTGGCCATCAGGTCCCTCTGGCTCCTAGGGTCAGGGCGGCCAGGGGGCTCTGTGCACTGCCCATGCTCACAGGCCCTGCTCCTGCAACTCCCATTGGCTGCAATGGAGCCAGCGCTGGTGGTGGGCATAGCACACGGACTGGAGACTCCTCCCCCCCCCGGCTGCCACTGTGCCTAGGGGCTGCAGGGTCCTGCCGGCCGCTTCCCAGTAGCTGCGCAGGAGCCTGCCAGCTAGGGTGACCAATTCAGTCCAGCCCCACGCCAAAATATCGGGACAAATGGCGTCCAAACAGTACATTGGTCGGGACATGGGACAAACAACTATATATCGGGACAGTCCCATTTTATCAGGACGTCTGGTCACCCTAGGGCTGGGCAGCAGACCGAGTGGCTCCTGGGAGTCACCTGCAGGCACAGGTGCTGCGACCACTGTTCCCTCTAAGTTGTACGTGTGTGTGCGCACAGATCCTAAACCCTGTGCACATGGCAAAACACCAGACGCACAAAAAATGGAATACTACCTCGGAGTCAGGCCGAAATATCATTTATGGGCGACTTTTGACATTGTTCGCCTACCATCTATCAACACAGCCAGATTCTGCCAGCTGGCAAGGGGGGGGGAAAGGGATAACATATAAGTATTTTACTCGCTTGGGCGCATTTGCCTCATGGCACACAAATTTGGACTCTGCTTCAAAAATTTGCGCAGAATAAATTTTTTTACATACACGGCCTGTCAAAAATTAGAGGGAACACTGGCTGCGACCAGGTCTATCACCCTGCCCCCTGCCAGTGAGTAGCAGAACCCCTGCCTGACCCACACTTCTTTTTTTGACAGGTTTCAGAGTAACAGCCGTGTTAGTCTGTATTCGCAAAAAGGAGTACTTGTGGCACCTTAGAGACTAACCAATTTATTTGAGCATGAGCTTTCGTGAGCTACAGCTCACTTCATGGGATGCATACCGTGGAAACTGCAGCAGACTTTATATACACACAGAGAATATGAAACAATACCTCCTCCCACCCCACTGTCCTGCTGGTAATAGCTTATCTAAAGTGATCATCAAGTTGGGCCATTTCCAGCACAAATCCAGGTTTTCTCACCCTCCACCCCCCCACACACAAATTCACTCTCCTGCTATTCTCTGTGTGTATATAAAGTCTGCTGCAGTTTCCATGGTATGCATCCGATGAAGTGAGCTGTAGCTCACGAAAGCTCATGCTCAAATAAATTGGTTAGTCTCTAAGGTGCTACAAGTACTCCACTTCTTTTTTTACGTGCCCCAAGCCAGAATTAAAATCGTGATCACCACACAGCATACAGCGGCCCCCCTGGGAGAGCCCCTCCACCTACCTCCCCAGCGCTGCAGGAAGGACACTGCTTTACCGCCCAACACCGCTGCCTGGTGTCTCCACTTCTCTCCATCCTTGCTCTCAGGGATTGTCTGAACACAGGATTTCACCAGTTTATTTTAAATCTGTTTAAAATTGATTTAGTTAAATCAGTGAAAACTTTAGTGTGGTTTCAACCTAGTTATATCAATGGTACCTGTATATATTCTGACACATTAACACAACATCAGAAATCAGTCTGACTGCGGAAATTATAGAGGAATCTCTCTGCTAGTAACTTCAGGAAACGTCCTTGCTAGATTCCTCCTGAACCATCTTCTTCCTCTGGGAAGACATGCTTTGTGAATCTCAATGTGGGTTTATACCAAAATTTCTCAAATGCTGCCACCTGGGGCTTTTCTTGTGGCCACAGCATGCTGAGCTGTGCTCTGGTGAGGGGAGGAAGCAGCAGCCTCTCTCCCAGGACCGCTCCCAGAGTCCCCTACCACTACCAGGATCTCTCCCCCAGGACCCCTCTGGAACCACAAATGCTGGAAGAGAAGGCAGCCAGCAAGTTCCCCGCCTTCCCAAGGGCAGTGGGGTTGAGTTTTTTTAAGCCCGGGGGCAGGCTCCCACCCCAAGCTCATCCCTCCTCCCCTCCCCCCCCCCCACCCCACCTCCTGCAACGCCAGGGTTTGGCTGCACTAGCCAGGCTTTGGTCATGGGGCAGCAGGCTCCAGCCTCTGGCTTACCTCCCCTTCCCCATTGCCTCTGGCCCCTTCTGCCTTCTCCAGCCTGGGCTTCCACCACACAGCAGGGGGCTCCATCCCCCAGGCACAGGGCTTCGGGCTCAGGCCCCAGCTATGGAGTTCTGGCCCTGGGCCCCAGCTGTGTGGCAGCGGTGGGTGCTGACCCCAGGCTCACCCCCCCTGCCCCAATTGCCCCTGCTGCCTCCCCCACACCCTCCATCAACTCCCCCCAGGACTCTGCTGCCTTCCTCTTCACCACCTCATCCAGGGCTTAATTTGTCCCAGAGCTAAGTAAGGCTACTGTGAAAAGTGATATTTGTTAATACTACTTTTCACAGCAGACTTAGGAGCCAGCTAGGAGGACTGTGAAAAATGATATTACATGCAAGTATTCCTTTTTACAGCAGTAGTTGTAGGAGCTAGCAAGTCTTTTAAAAAACAAAAAAGCAAAAGAAATAACAAAAAAGACAAGAACGTGCAAAGCACTTTGTGTTTCTATGTTGTTTAGGACCAGTAAAGAATGGAGACAACAGTACGTTTTTATTATTGTGTTAAAAAAAGAAAAAAAACCAACCCTACATATATAAATTACAATGATGTGGACATGTATATGTGCATATTTGTTTTTCCTAAAGTTAATTAATACTTTAAGAAACATTGTCAGACCAGCCATGAGCACGAGTGGGTGGCTGTACTCTTAGGCCACCAAAAATTTTGTTGTGAGAACCCCTAGTTTAAACCATCTAAAGGCACCACTGACATGATCTTTACTGCTTGGCAGCTGCAGGAAAAATGTAGAGAATACCACAGACTGGTGTTCATGGACCTGACAGAAGCCTTTGACTCCATCAAGAGAGAAGCACGGTAGAAAATCCTTCTGAAGTATGGATGCCCACCAACATTTATCACCATTCTTTTGACTCTTTCACAATGACTTGCAAGCAGTGATCTTTTGAAATGGATCTGCTATGGTGCCTTTTAAGATTAAGACATGCATTTAGCAGGGCTGTGTTATTGTCCCAATGCTCTTCTCCATCTTCCTCGCTGCGATGCTCTATTTGATCACTGACAAGATTCCAGCAGCAGTGCAGCTAATCTATCAAATGGATGGTAAACTGTTCAACCTCGGCCACTTCTGATCCAAAACCAAATCACCCCCAACCTTCATCATTCAGCTTCAGTAGGGTGATGATGCTGTAGGGGCAATACCTTCGAGATTCCCTGTGTAAAATATTTTTCCCCCAACCAGGTTCCAGGCTCCTTTCCAGTACTGTTTATTCTAAATTCAGGACTTGGGAGGGATAAGCATGCACCTTAAGTGTGGGAGAAGAGGTAGGTTACAACATCTGGCTAACTCCCGCTTGGGGCCTCTTCTCCTTGTGCTGGAGTAGCCAGCTCAAGGTGGTGGTGGTGGGATTACTTTGTGTATTTCTTGAGCTGCTACTGGTGGGGGAATCTACGAGAGGTATTCCACATATAGCAACTGCAGTGGCCATAGAAATAGCAGGTGTAACTGGTTGCTCAGTAGCTGAGTGAGCCACAACTGTCTTAGAAATCTCTGCAACCTGGACTATCTACCTCAGTCTACAAGTCCCAAAATAATGGAGTCCACAAATGTCCACAAATCTCCCAAACTCCTCAGACATCTGGCCTCAGCCACCT